GGGGATGGACTGTGAGGTTTCAAATGCTCAAGCCAGGCCTAGTGTCCTCTCTCATCCTGTAGATCCAGATGTAGAATTCTCAGCTGTCTTTCCAGCACCATGTCTGCCTGCATGCCACCATGCTTCCCAATTGTGGTAATCTGAATATAATTGGTCCCCATAAGCACATAGAAAATGGCACCATTAGGAGTTGTGGCTTTTTTTTGGATTAGTATGGCTTTGTTAGAGGATGTGTATTACTGTGGAGGCAGACTTTGAGATCTCATATATGCTCCGAACCACACCTAGTGTCTCAGACCACTTCCTGTTGCCTGCAAATCTGGATGTAGGACTCTCAGCTCCTTCTCCAGTACCATGTCTGCCTGCACGCCACCATGTTGCACCATGATAATAATGGACTAAACTTAAAAATATAAGCCACGCCAACTAAATGCTTTTCCTTTATAAGTATTGCCATGGTCATGTTGGTGTCTCTTCACAGCAATAGAAACCCTACGACACCAGCCATGTTGTAAAGAACTAAACCTCTGAGCTATAAGCCAGACCTAATTAAATGTTTTCCTTTCTAAGAGTTGCCATGGTTGTGGTATATCTTCATAGCAATAGAACATTGACTAGGACAGCTACCAAATGTCAAGTGATACCGGAAGAAACCAGATGCCAGGTATTAAACAGATTGTTTTCCTAAACCCCCAGCAGGTAACAACCTTACAGGTAGATCTCTGTGTTCAAGGCCAGCATGCTATACATAGCAAGTTCTAGGACAGCCAGAACTACACAGAGAACCCCGTCTCAAAAGAAAGGTTGTATTGTAGGACTAGAGAGATAGCTCAGTAGTTGTGTGTGCTTGTTACTCTTGCATAGGACCTCGCTTGATTCTTAGCATCAGGCATCTCAAACTCTCCACAGCTCCAATTCCAGGGGATCTGATGCCTTCTTCTAGGCAATGTACACACATGGTACACATACAGACAGACATGTAGTGATATATTATTTATGAAATACTAAAGCTTGCCTAAGAATTCAGAAAGCAAAGTCAGCCACAAGCCATAGAAGCCAGGCATACACCTTTAATTCCAGCAGCCAGAAGCTAGGAAGTGGTGGTATATACCTTTAATCCTAGGACTCAGGTAGATAAGATCTCTCTGAGTTCAAGGCCATCCAGGGATACATAAGATTGAACCAATCTAAAAAGAATAACTGATCACACGCCTTTAATCCCAGTACTAGAGGGGATAAAAGATAGAAGCGAGGTCTCTAGTCACACTGAGGAGAGGGAGCAGTTTGAGACTTGAAGAGCTCATGTGTGGATCAGCCCTTTCAGCCTGAGCTAGAGGTGACAGCTAGTGGCCAGCTGCTTTGTTTTTCTGATATTCTGCTTGAAGCTTGAACCCCAATTCTGTCTCTGGGTCATTTATTTTTTGTGTTACACAAGCAGGGATACACACACACAAGATAAATAAAAGCATGATTTTAATTGTATTAGTTAGCAGAAGACAGCTCAGTGAATACTGGCACTTGTCAAGCTTGAGGGCCCTAGTTAGCTTCTCAGAACCCACAGAGAAGGAGAGTACTGACTCTTGATACTTGTCCAGTACCTTCTCACACACACCTGTATTTAGCATCCAAAGACCCTCCAATGCTGCAATGGTTTGTCTTGATATCATTGAGTTGTATGAGTTCTTTAATAAAAGTCATATATATATCTGGCAAGCATTTTAACATCTCCCCAGTGGAGGATACTTGATAATAGTAAACCTATATAAGGTAGAAAACAATTTAAACAAAAATTTAAGTCAGCTGTTATTGGCATAAATTGACCCCTTTTCTAAAACTATAATGGGGCTGGTAAATGGCTCATCGGGTAAAGACACCTGCTGCCAAGTCTGATCCTTCTATTCATTCCCTAGGACCTACAGTGATAGAAGGAAAGAACTGACTCTTACAAAGTGTCCTCTTATCTTCACAAGCATACTCGTGCGCGCACACACACACACACACACACACACACAGAGAGAGAGAGAGAGAGAGAGAGAGAGAGCACCCTCACAAAACAAATAACAATGTTATAAAAATGTAAAAAAAAACTGAACTAATGAGAGATACAGTTACTGGTTTTCCAAATAGCCTTTGTTATGATAAGATTTTCCTAAAAGCCAAAATCTTGGCATAGGAAAATGTCACTCCAGTTTTCCTTGTGGAAACTGAAATTGTGACAGCTTGGCATGCTAATTAGAGGTTAAAGCTGAGATTACTGACTGCCCTGCAGGTTTTCCATTCAGGCAGCAATTTTACAAGGGGACCCCAACAGAAGGGAAGGCAGTGTTCTAACGAGGCCCTGGCTGTCCTGGAAGTCACGATGTGGACCAGGCTGGCATCAAACATAGGGAGATCCACCTGCCTCTGCCTCCTGAGTGCTGGGATTAGAGGTGTGCCCAATCACACCTGGCCTTTGAGAGAACTTTTCTTTAGTAGTGAGTCACTGACAAAATACTCATGCTCCTGTAGAGAACCACTCACCCATTGTCCTTAAGCAGCTTTAATGAAAACTCACAGATCACAAACATGGCTTAGCAGGTAAGGAGACATTTGCCAGCAAACCTGACTACCTGAGTTTGATCCCTAGGACCCACATCATGGAAGGAGAGAACTGACTCCTGAAACCATCCTCTACACACACACACACACACACACACACACACACACACACACACACACACACACAAAATGTCATTTAAAAAATCTTCTAAATTAAGCACAAAGGAACTAATTGACTCACCAAAAAAAGTTAAAGACATGAAAGCAGAAGAAGGGGATCAGAGGGAATGGGAGGGGGACAAGTGAGGGTAATAGAAGGGTATGATCACAATATATACAAGAAGCTGGCTGTGGTGGCGCACGCCTTTTAGCCCAGCACTCTCGAGAGGCAAAGGCAGACAGATCTCTGTGAGTTCAAGACCTGCCTGGTCTACAAAGTGAGTGGTGGGCCAGCCAGGGCTGTTAAACTATGGAAATGTCATAAATTCGGTATTATATATAATATATGCTAATAAAACAAAAAATCTAAGTCATTAATGCTTACACTCTTATAATCAGTTACTGCTCAAATGAACAAAAAGTGTTGTTTCTCGGCTAGCACACACAATAAATTTTCTGCTGTTTGTTTGACGAGTTTAGAATCTAACATTCTACAAGAAGCCACCAACAAAAATAGTAGCACACACTGAGTAAAATATTTTTTGTGCGTACCCTGTTATAATAGAAGCAATAATGTGTAAAAGAAAACGTTTTAAATCCGGCGTTGGTAGCGCACGCCTTTAATCCCAGCACTCAGGAGGCAGAGGCAGACGGATCTCTGCGTTTCAGGCCGCCAGCCTGGTCTACAGAACCTCGAAAAAACAACAACAACAAAAAACAAAACAAAAGACAAAACAACAACAAACGTTCCTAAGCATTACAGATATCAAAGTTTGTTACTTTCCCAGTAACACCAACCTGCTACTAACTGCTACCTAGATTATCATCATTCTTTCATTCACAAATGATCGGCAAAGTGAGACCATGGTTCTGTATATACTGGAATGATAATAAGCCAAGACTACCTCCCACCCCAAGCACAACCCAGCTAAGAAGTTAAGAGAAGTCTTCACAAGGGTTCCAAGAGGATTGTTGAAGGGTACGACAGAAGCTAAGGGTCAATTACCCAGGTTGTTAATTTGCCCTACCCGAGAGCCTCTTTTTCACTCCCTCTCTCCCTCCGTGTTTGAATGTCTGTGTGTCTTGCCTGGTCTCATACTCCGGATCCTCCTGCCTCAGCCTAAGAGTCACCACGCCCCGCCTGGGACTAGGATTTTAAAATGTTTCAAACATCTGCACGCCGGCTTAAGAAGATGGTTCAGACGTTGTGGGAAATGACCTCAGCGTGCTGTCTGCCTTCTCCAAAGCTACGTTATTGTTTAGGTTGGGTTGGGCTACATCCCCTGGGGAAGACAGGATTCCGCTCTGCCGCTCGCTCGTGCTCCGGCCGGCTGACGGGAGGCTGCACCGCGGCGGGAGGGCAGGCGCGCACCACCCCGACGCGCCCGCGATCCCTGCGAACTCACAGGTGCGCGCCCCGGGGCCGCGCGCCTCCGAGCTCTACGCGCGCGCCCTTGGCGCAGCTCCGCTCGGTGGACCCGCGGGCTCCAGACGCTGTGCTCCGGTGGCGGGCGCAGCCGCGGCGGCGGCGGCAGCGGCGGCGAGGGCCTTCCCTGGCTGACACTCCCCCCACCCCGCCCGCCGGGGCGAAATCCCGCCCGCCCGCGCGCGTGCGCGCGCGCGAGTCCGAGGCCGCTTCTTGGGTCCCAGCGTCCGGGAGTCCGGCTGCGGCGACTGCGCGGCCCTGGGCGCGTCGGGGTCGCCTTAGGGTCGGAGCGGAGACCGCAGTCCGGGCGGCGCGGTGGCCTCCTCTGCGGGCGAAGCCTGCGACGCTCCTCGGCCAGGCTTCTCATCGATTCACCGCCGAGAGCCTCCTCCGCGAGCCCCGGCGACGGCCGCCCAGGCAGCGCGGCGGGATGAGCGGCAGCGGCAGCGGCGCGGCGCCGGGCCCGGGCTCGGGGTCCTCCCCGGCCGCCTGTCGCTTCGCGCACTACTTCGTGCTGTGCGGGATCGATGCGGACAGCGGACTGGAGCCCGACGAGCTGGCGGGTAAGGCCGGGCTGGCTGGCTTGCCGCGGAGGCGCCAGGGAGGCGAGGTGCGGGCTCGAGACACAAAGTCGGCTGCTGGAGCCGCACTCGGGCTAGACGGGCACTCGTGGGCGACGTAATGACATTGTTGTTCATTCCGCGCTCTGGCTGGGCCAGCGGGCGCTGGGTCCGCGTAACCGGCGCGGGCCGCCAGAGGGCCGGACCCTCCGCCGCCCCCCACCCCACCCCCACCCCCCCATCCGCTGCTCGCGAGCGGTTCATGGCGCGCGCGGCCGGCCCGGGCAGTGGTTTGCGAAGTTTGGCCCTGCGCGGCCGGCGCGGCGTTAGGCGAGCTAGGTGGAGGTGTCGGGACCGCGGGGCCACGCGGAGGTCCGCTTGGGCGAGAGGCCCAGCGGGAACGGCCGGGACAGATTTCGGTCGGCGCCGCCCCTCCCCCCTGGCTCTGCGATGACGGCGGAGTCACCCTTTGGAATCCTGTGGATTTGCCAGTGCCAGTGCCAGTGCGAGCTGGCGAGGACCTTTGGACGCTCGGGATGCGGCCCGATGCTTTGTTGATCCCCTTGACGTAGTTGGACGATCCTCCCCAAGAGGGGCGCACCGTGAGTCATCGCCGAGGTGTCACTGGAGGAGCATGGCCCCCCCATTTAGACTGGTTTGGTGACGCAGTGCGGGACTGAGCTGGGGAACCTACACTGGGAACCCGGGCAGTTGAATGATGATGGAGGCGGGGGAATGCGCAGTGTGGAGAGCAGGCAGGGAGAAATAACAGATTGCGTTTTTTCACTCTCCTTTCCTCCGTGGGATCTGAGTCGTGATTCTTTTTTTTAAAGGGTGAGACACGTGACACCTACCACCTGAACTTTATCTGTGTCAGTGCTCAACACTTAGGTCATAGCCTTTCAGAGCAGCTTCTTTGGAACAGAGCATCCTTCATTGATTGCACCAGTATAGATTTTTCTCTCTTCCATTGAGGAGACGATTGGGCAGACTGTATTAAATAATAGATGATAGTAAACAAAACTGCTCAGTCTTTAAAAATACAGTCCCACGTTTTAGCTGAGCATCATTTTATTAAGTCAGCTTCACAGCAAGATGAGTAGTTTTATTTATTTATCGAAAAGAGGAATTATAAAGTACCAGGTTTCTTCCATATGTGCAATTATGTAATATACTGTCTCTTAAGCTAAGATGTCACGTACATGTTAAGAGTGGCATTGCTAAGGGATATGAAGTTGGGAGAAATGGTCAGCAGAGTGATTTTGGAGAAAGATTTCTCCTGGGTTGGTAAAAGAATTATCTTTCTTGGAGGCCTTCTATGCCAGGTGACTGATGAAAGAAAAAAAGCCTGTATTCGTCTTTCTCTCTTTGTCTGCTAACACCGAAACAACGCCTTTTTAAAAAGTGTGTCCTGGAACTCTCCAAGTGTAATGCAAATAGCACAAAACATTTTATTTTAATGAAATTTAAACTTTCTCTCTTCCTTTTTTTCTTTTTGTAACAGCTGGATGTGGTAGCTCATGCTTGTAGTGTCAGTACTTTCCAGGCTGAGGCTAGACAGAGTGGTGTGAGTTTGAGGCCAGCTGGGACTATGGGGTGAGAGACCCTGTTTCAAAAACAAAAACGAAGGTCAGGGAAGGTCGGTGAAATGGTGACTGGGGAAAAAAGCAACTCCAGAGGAAGAGGGGGCTATGAACGTTCTAGAAATGGCAAAATGGGAGGCTCGCACACAGGCACAAAGGTTTTGTGCATTTTTATTTATTACTTTGTGTGTATGCCCTGTGTTTTGTGTGTGTGAACTTTGTGGAATCAGTTCTCTCATTCCACCTATATGTGGGTTCCAGCAATTGAACTCAGGTCTCTAGACTTGTGCAAGTGCTCTTACACACTCAGACCTTTAGTGCACTTTTAAAAGATGGGATAGATAGATATACATATGTGCATGTGTGCACACTTACACGTGCCCGTGCAAAAGTGTAGGTGCCAGCATAGGCCAGAAGAGCATATTATATCTCCCAGAACTATAGTTACAGGGGCTTGTGAAGAACTGATGTTAGTTCTGGGAGCTGAACTCATGTCCTCTGGAAGAGCAGCAAGTGCTCTTAACCTCTGAGCAATCTCTCCAGCCCCCTTTGATGTGCATTTTTTTAAAAAAATTGTATTCATTTATGTGTGTAGGGGTGCATGTTTGTTTTCTGTGACATGAGCATGGAGATCAGACACCTCTGAGAATCCACTATGTAGGGTCCAGGGATTGAACTCAGGTCATCATATTTGGCAGAGGGTGCCTTTGCCTATTAAGCTTTCCCATTGACCTCTGTTATAAATTCTTTGGGACACAAATTGTGTTTTCTTCATTTGTGGTAAACATGTAATTGACCTTTCTGCTCACAGTATTTGGAGTGCTCAAATAATAATGTATTTTTGCCTGATTTTGATTATTCAGTCATTCAACAAATGGATTTTAAAAAGCTTGGTGTAGATTGTGAAGAAGCACAGGGGGAACATCTGTAAAGAAAATAAAATCCCTTCCATATTGGATGATAGATCCCCCCCTTTTTTTTTCTTACCTTTTCCTTCCTTCAGTACTGGAGATTGAAAATAGGGCCCCATACATTCTAGGCACTGAACTACATCCCCACCTCTTTAAAGAATTTTATTTTTCAGTCAGGGTCTCATTAAGTTACCCATGTTGGCCTGAAACCTGCATTGTATCCCAGAAAGGCCTTGAACTTGGGCTCCTTCTGCTTCAGCTTCCCCAGGAGCTGATTTTATAGGCTTTCCACACAACATGTCCAGTTTCTATGTCCAAATTAGTAAAGAAATACAAGAAAAAAATGGATCAGGAAAATAGCATCAGAATCACTGTTATTTTATGTTATTGGTGGGGGTCACACCCTGGGAATGCATAGGCATGTGCTCTAATCATTGGGTTACCTCAGCCTTTGATTTTAAATAAGCGGACAGCCTCACAGAGAAAGTGGTGTTTGAACACAGCCTTGAAGAAGGTGCAAAAGCAAGCAGTATGGACTGTCTAGGGTAGTGGTTCTCAGCACGTGAGTAATAACCCCGTGGGTGTCAAAGGCCCCTTTCGCAGGGGTCACCAAAAGACCATCTGCATATCAGATATTTGCATTATGATTCATAACTGTACCAGGCTTTTTTCTTTTGAGCCACCAGCTGGCTCCCATATCATGACACAGAGACTTTTTTTTGACACAGAGACTTCTTATTAGTTATTAATGCTCCGTCTAGCTTAGGCTTGTTTCTGGGGAGCTCTTTTAACTTCAATTAACCGATTTCTCTTTGGCTACATTTTGCCTTAGGCTTTTTACCTTACTTTCTGTGTGTCTTACTCCCTGCCCCCCATTCCTCGCCTGGCTGGCTGGTGGCTGGCTGGTCTCTGGCCCCAGGCATCTCTCTTTTTTTTCCTCCTCCTTCTCTGCCCTCTTCTCTCTGTTCTTAGATTTCTCCTCTTATTCTCTCTGCCTGCCAGCCCCCACCTATCCCTCTCCTGCCTAGCTATTGCCCATTCAGCATTTTTTTTATTAGACCAATAGAGTACATTAGGCAGACAAGGTGAAACAGCAGCAGGGTCTTTTCATAATTAAACAAATGCATCATAAACAAATGTAACACATTCTTAAATAAACAAAATGTAACACTTTTTTTTGGTTTTCGAGACAGGGTTTCTCTGTAGCTTTGGAGGCTGTCCTGAGCTAGCCCTTGTAGACCAGGCTAGTCTCGAACTCACAGAGGTCTGCCTGCCTCTGCTTCCCGAGTGCTGAGATTAAAGGCATACTCCACCAATGCCCGGCGTGTAACACATCTTTACACAGTTAAAGTAATAATCCACAATAGGCAATAACTAGAAGGCCAATGTGAATGGAATGTGCAAGATCATAGAGACAGATTACGAAAAACATTACAGGGCCTCAAAGACATTGCTTTTTACTCTGAGTTGGGAAGATGCAGATTTTTTAACAGAACAGTTGTATCATCTGACACACCTTCTAAAAGGATCACTGTCTGCCAGTGAGACAGCTCAGGTAGAAATGGTACTTGATGCAAAGCTGACAATTTGATTTCTATAACTGAGACTCACATAGTAAGAGAGAACAGACTTCCACAAGTTGTCCTCTGATTTCCACAGGTGTACGTCTGCTCAAGAGCACATGCATCACACACACACACACACACACACACACACACACGGATTAAAATTGTTTTAAATAAAATTATTACTATTTTATACGTATCCCTGTTTTGCCTGCATGTATATCATCGTACCACGTGTGTCTGGTACCCAAGGAAACCCAAGTGGGCATTGGATCCCCTGGAACTGGGCTTATAGATGGTTGTGAGCTGCCATGTAGGTGCTGGAAATTGAACCTGGGACCTTTGGAAGAGAGCCACTGCTTTTTAACCATTAAGCCATCTCTCAGCCCCAATAAACCAAAGCATTTAAAAAAATAAAAAAAGATCACTGTGGCAGCCAAGTTACATGTGAGGGAAAACAGTAGAAACAGTAGAAGCAGAAACTTGTTGTATGTTTCATTATTTGACGTAAAATCATTTGGGGAATTGGTGGTAATGAGTCAGATATTTGTGTGTGTGTGAGACGGGGGGGGAGGGAGGAGAGAGCGCATGCATGTGTGTATATGTGCATGCTGCGCACCATCAGGAGTTACTAATGAAATGGATGATTGCATCTGATTTCTCTTTTCTTTTGAGATGGTTATACTATGCAGCCCTGGATGACCTTGAACTTGTGGCAGTCCTCCTGCCTCTTGAGTTTATAGGTGTGTGTGTGTGTGTGTGTGTGTGTGTGTGTGTGTGCCACAACCACTTATTATGATGAAGTTCTATTGATTTAGTAGTCATAGATGAGGAACATGATCGGTTATGACTGAAAGATTTTTGGTCAGAACAATTGTAAGTTTCTCTATGGAAGGAAGACTAATGGAAAATCAGACTCAAGTTTAGCTCAGTTTCATTTTAGACATGTTAAGGTTGAAGTGCCCATTAGACTTTAATGGGGATACTAAATAAGATATCTCTCAGGGGAAAAGTCCAGACTAGATATAAATTTAAAGCTGTGAAGCCACTTATGTGTTGAGTTAATAGAAAAGAGGGGGAGCCTTGATGATTGAGTACTGGGGAGAGGGTAATCCAACAGGCACAGGTGGAGAGAGTCAGAAAATACCAAAGGGATTAAATAGTATTGACAGGAGGTAGGTGGGTAAGGCAGTATCGTATTTTCAATTGACAGTGTTTTCCATAGAGCTCCATTTGGAGATCAGGAAGCTGTGTATTAATTAGTTTTCTGTTGCTGTAACAAAAATATCTTAGGCTAGGTATGTTGGTAAGATACGAAGCTTACTTAGCTCATAGTCTTGGAAGAGGAAAGTCCAAGATCCAGGTGATCCTTTGGTAAAGGCCACATAGTAGCGTGGCAATGGAGGACGAGTTTACAGGAGAGAACGCATGGCTAGAGAAGCCAGACATTCAGGCTAGTTAAATGTGCTCTTTTTTTTTTTTTTATAACTTACTCTCTCAGCAGTTAACCATTGTAAGGGGTCTTTCTCATCAGACTCTCTTT